CCTCGGTCGCCGGGACGGTCTCAGCTTCGGAGATCTCGTCGTCGGCGGGTGGCCCCGCTGGAAGACCGAACCAAGCATTGAACGCGACCTCGTCGACTTCGTCCCAGCCGTGGAACTCGTCGAAGAGGGTCACTGCGTAGTCTTCCAGGGCTACGGTCACTTCAGCGTAGCGGGCCATCACGTAGTACGTGGAGGAGCCCGCGGCGGGAGCCGCTTCTGGATTGACGTAAAACTCGTAGTCAATGTAGTCTATGTCATCCATAAAAGAATTTTGAGCCAAATGTACGGATCCCTTTCCTTTCCCTTTCGGGCATTGATCGCGCAAATGCTCTGTACTACCGCATGTATGACACTTCATAGTATTGCCAGAAGCGTCCCTAGGGTTGCCCCTCCGCCCTTTTCCCTTACCAGAGGTCCGCCTGTGACCCCGACCTTTGCCTCCGATAAGAACTTCTTCAAAAACTATATCAGTTAAGGACGTGAGGAAAGCAGTAATACCCCTACCATGCATACGGCGTCTGCGACCCCCTTTGCCACGACCCTTTCCATATCGTTTGAAATGTCGGCGTACTGCACGTCTCACTTTTCTGACTGGTTTCTTCATAAAGCGCCTCCAACGGCGTTTTGATTTGCGATAAGCCATAAAAGCGGCTTCCGCTCTTTGTTGTTCAGAAAGGTGAGTGTCATCCGCTGGATAGTCATTACCAGCAGAGACTATGCCATTGTGCTCATCGTCAGATGAGGTATCTGTGTCAGTGCCAGATTCAAACGGTGAGGGTGGCTGAGACCCTTGAGCGGATGACTCCGCTTGGCCCCAGAGGGTTGTGCCCGAGGGCGGGCTTGCAGTGTAGGCGGCGCCTGGCGAGTAGTTCGACCAGGCGTTCGCCTCAGCTGCCTCTGCCGATGCCTGGCCGGTCTGCCCTAAGAAGGCAGTGGCCTCGTTGGGCATATCGGCTGGGTCAGCCCAGGGACTTGGCTCGCCAGGACCAGCGGGTGACCCCGCAGTCGTGGCGTAGACACCTGCATGTGAGTGGTGCCCTGTGAAGATACCCGCAATGTTGCCAGGAGAGCGCTCGGCAACATGTCCGTAGTTCCTCATCCTGGTCAGCAGCCTGTCATAGTCTGCTTGTGTTCTGGGCATCTGATGATTAAAAGGCTCCAGCAGGTGTTGGGCTCGTGACGCGCCAACGCCTAACGCTCTGAAAAGAATCAGCGTTAGGATCTGAAAGTTGGGGATGACAAAGCCAACAGAGTTAGCCTCGTCACGGGCCATCTCGAATCGAGCTAACACTGAGTCGATTCGCTCGCCCCTTTCGACGCGAAAGTCGATAAGGGCAGTGCCAGAGTTGAGCTGGCGCTCATCTTCCAGATTTTCAAATTTGGTGCTCAGTAGGTACAGTATATATGTACTGCATCCGTTGGCTGTCCATTGACAGTTACACCATAGTTGATGATCTGGGAGGGGACCTGCATGGCGATACGACGAGCAAGACCTTGAAGGCCTCGTTGTAGTGCTGCAGCTTGTTGAGGTGGCGTCATATTGCCGCTCGTTACGTTTATCCATGCATGTACTTCGCGAACGTATTCGCGAAAAGGCGTAGTACCGGCAGGGTCCCATGAAGGGCCGGTAGTACGCGTGTCGTCCATCCCCTGCCGCATGTATCCCACAGCACATCCCATTATTACCCACAGAATGCCGAAGATAGTTATCTTAATCCAGTGCATGTGCATTTCGGCTTCGGTGATTGGTTTAGGCTGTGGTTTGTCAGGCTCTGGCGTAGTAGCCGTGAGGCGCCTGACTGGCACGGGATGCAGGTGGCCCCGCTGCGGGTAGCCCCGCAGGGTGACCACGTTCTCGATCGAGTTGCCGATTGGCATCTGGTGGAAGTCGAGAGTGAAGTAGCGCAGTGAAGTAGGAGAGAGCGTCTCGAGTTCGCGGGTTGCCCCGCTAGCTCGATCGCGGACTGGCTCCGCTCCTCGCAGAGCCGGCGCAACATGGTATTCCACCGTAGTAGTAGTCCACCAAGTTGTGCCGTGGATTACAGGAATCAGAGCGAGAGCCAGCCACACGAGAGTGTAGCCAGCTCCGCTACCAAGTCGAAAACATGCTGGTAAGCTTAGGTATGTGTTACGCTTCAAGCGTTGCCATATCCCAGGCTTTGGCTCATATCGCATGAGCAAGAGAGCGAGACGAAGCATGGGATCTGGAGTAAAGGATAGAAGGGGCATCTTCAATGGAAAAGGTATTTTCCGATCTCAGATACCAGTCGTGCGCCTCGGTGAGGCACAGTCATATATTTGGCCGGGCCCGGCTTGAGCCACGCACGGCAGCGGTACATGCTCGATTTATACCTCGCCTTTAACCTTCTCCGTTTAAAGTCCGCGAGCGGTCAAAGCGTCCAAAACGGCCTCGGCGAGGAAGCCAAAATCATTTATTTTACTGAGATTGTGGCCCCATTTTGGCCTCCTGAAGGGGGCAAAGATGGCCCCAAGAAGCGCCCAGGAGGCCCCCAAAGGCCCCAAGATGGCCCCAAGAGTCCCCAAGAGGCCCCCAGGAGGCCCCACAGAGGATCCCGAACCGCACACATAGGCCCCCCCGAGGCACCCAAGACGCCGAAAAGCCCCTCAGGACGACCCTCTACTCGCCTGGGCGTCGTTTCTGGACGGGCTGGTGGGGATATATTTTTGTACAGCCGCAGGCGGAACCGCCGGCGGCGGCGGGTCACGGTCGGGCTGCGGCCGTGACAAATTAGCCGGGCGCGCGCGGGGGCCGCGGATCAGGCGGCGGTGCAAGCTGCTGCCCAGGGAGTCTGAAGGGAAACAGCCACCCAGGAAGCAGGGAGGACGCTGCCAAAATGGCGCGACGCACATCCCCAGTCAAGGATCGTGTCGGTCCGACGACCACAAGGCAGTGGGGATCTGTCTCCGTGCACGAGGGGTGTCAGAGAGCCCAGGGTGTCTGCCGGGTATGAGCGAGACCGTAGGCAAGAGAGCTGACGTCGTCCAGCAGGGAGAAGGGACTCTGACAGCGCCAGCGAACCGTCGCAGCTTCGAAGAACGCATCCACGCGGCTGAGAAGGCACGCCTGCAGTCATGGACAACCGGAGTCAACCTCAAACCAACTGCGGAAGAATGCGTCTGCACGCGAAAGATCAACGACATGATGTAACGCAGTGCAGGGGTACACCTGTTCCCGACCTGGGCGAGAGACACGACGGCCAACCGAAGGTAACAGGGCGTGTACCAGGAAGCAACTAAGTGACATAACAAAGAGCGGCTCTCCATTCACGCTGAGGGACCAGAAAGAGGCAAAGCGCTCTGAGAAAGCTGCGCTGTCGCATACCCACTGCAGCACAAGCAATCCGTAGTCACGAAGAAGCCCAGGGAGTGGCCGCTCAACAAGGTTGAGCGTGGGAGCGACGATGGGGTGACGTCAGTGCGCACGGATCCTCGCGGCGAGCGGTGCATCACTAGCCTAGAATTCCGAAGCGTCTAGAATTCCTCTTCTTATATGTTTATAAGCCCGAGCGGGGGGAAAACCCATCCCCCCCCCTCCACCCAAAACCGGACTCCCGGGACCTGGGGCTTTGGGGCCCTCCGGACGGGCCTCGAAGCGGCCACCGGGCCTCGCAAGGCGTTTTGCCAAGCCTTCCCAGCACACTTAGGGCGATCAGGGGGTCATCGGAGACGTCCCAGAGACCCCCAAGGCAGCACAAGAGCGCTCCAAGAGTGAACGACGTGACCTCAAGATGGCCCAAGAGGCCTCCAGGACGGCCCCAAAGAGGCCTCCAAGAGCACTCCCAAGATGGCCCCACGAGGCAAAAATCTTGTGCGTTTTGGTGAGTTTTGGGGTTCTCCTCTTTTCGGCTTCCCGACGCTCCAAGACGGCGGTCTTCTGGGCGTCCGAAGCCGCCTGGGAGGCTCCCAAATCGCCCCACAACCATCCGAAAGGGCTTCCAGGCAGCCCAAGAGAGCCCCAAAACGGCACAACACGGGTCCAAGATGGCCCTCAGAGAGCCCCATGGCGGCCCAAGATGGCCCAAAGACACACTCCGAAGAATTCCAAATCGTGATCCGGTCGTTCAGGGAGACGGCGGTTGGAGGCAGGGTGGCCCGAGGAAGCCCCCGGAGGCCCCCAGAATGCGCCCAGGAGGCCTCCAGAAGGCCTTAAGAAAACCCGAAACAACTTTTGTGAGCCCCCTAGAGGCTCTCCAAGGAGGAGCCTCCGCAAAAAAGAGCTGAGGAGGATGGGGAGAATGTGCAGTGTATGGCGAAAATAAGGAACAATAAGCATGGAGGAAGGATAACGAATAACATCATTATAGCGGCGATGCCGGAGAAGGCAACCAGGAGTTATCGCTAAATTGTCGGCTTGACCTTCCTGCCATTCCGCATGCATACCAAACTTCAAGGACCAAGGTGCATGGCGCGAAGCGCCACTGCAGTCTTGTATATATATATATATATACACACCTATATATATATAACTATATATACACATACACATATACGCGCGCGCGCCTCGCAAAGGCTAGGCGCGTGCTGCACCCGGAGGCCAACACCCTGCGCTGCCCCCCAGGGTCAACCCCACGCCTTGGGCCGAGCCGTCACCCTGAAGAGCCCTCCGTCCACGGGCAAGGAGGGATGCCCAAGCCACCGAGCCCTCAAACCCGACGGCCACCTCATACTCCTCCTTCCCCTCCCAACATCATCCTTCAAACACCCGCCATCCTGCGTCCTCCCTCCTACCTCCTCCCTCCTCCTCCTCCTCCTCTCCTCCTCTCCTCCTCCTCCTCCTCCTCCTCCTGCTCCTCCTCCTGCTCCTCCTCCTCCTCCTCCTCCTCCTCCTCCTCCTCCTCCTCCTCCTTCCTCCCCCTCCTTCGCATCATCACATAGCCAAATATCACATGACATCACTGGCACCATCGCCTCATCACCATCCGAATCACATGGATCGGATAATGATGAGAAGATGGTGCCAAGCTTCGGACCAGCCCGACCGTCCTGGTCCAGCTCCTCCGTTGCCTTGAACTTGTCCTTCGGCATGACACGGATGCGGTTGTCATCGTCGAAAGTGATGTCGACATCCTGGCCAGGGTGCCCCACTGAATCAAGGGGCATGAGGAGGAGAAGGATGAGGAGAAGGAGGAGGAGGAGGAGGAGGAGAATGAAGAGAAGTAGGGAGGGCGAGAAGGGGGGAAGATGAGGAGGGGAATAGAGAGAGAGAGGAGGGCGGCGAGGAGGAGGAGGAGGAGGAGGAGGAGGAGGAGATGGCGGAGGAGGAGGAGGAGGAGGAGATGGCGGAGGAGGAGGAGGAGGAGGAGAAGAAGGGGGAAAGATGATATGAGGGTGGGAGACGAGGAGGCGGGTGGGGGAGGAGGAGAGGGATCAGAGAGGGGGCGACAAGACGAGAGAGAGATAAGAGACAAGACCACCGTTCACGCACTGTGGTGCTGTGTTGCTGCCCTCTACAGAGCACGTGGGGGGGGCGGCGGAGCCCCCAAAGGCTCAGGAGCGTCTCGACATGACACTTCGGGGCAGCAAGACGATGTGCCGCACGCGATGTGCACGCAGTCGTCGACGAGCAGCTCCTGGGCCAGGGACTGGTAGATCACCCTCTGGACAGGCAGACGAGGTACGCTCCTCGACGCCCCGCGCGCGCGCTGCTCGGTCTCCCGGGCCCGCCGCCGCTGCTGGCCGGATCCCGGCACGACGCAGACGGCCGCGAGATTGCGCCACGGGATGATCGTCAAAGGTGCCATGGCCCGCTGTTCTGCTCCTCCTCCTCCTCCTCCTCCTCCTCCTCCTCCTCCTCCTCCGCCTCCTCCGCCGCCTCCTCCTCCTCCTCCTCCGCCTCCTCCGCCGCCTCCTCCTTACACCACACGTTGCACCGTTGCCTCCTCCGAGGCATGCTCGCGAAAGCTGGCCAGCCGCTGCGGCCACGCTGGCACGGCGGCTGCGACCGCGCGCCCTGTGGTGGCGAATGATGGCGCGAGCAGCGGGGTGAGCGAAATCATTGCCGCCCAGTCTCGCATGCTCAGAATGTCGTTTTGTCAGAACGCCTCCGGTGGGCTGCGAAGGACTCGGTGGAGCACATCTAGCTCACCGAAATACAGCCTCGGGTCGATGACGAAAAACTGCATTCGGTAGCTGAGCACACGGGTAGCACCATCGTGTTGTAATTGCGCGCGCGCAGCTTGCCCGCCACCTCAACCCACTGCATCTCTTTCGTCGCACCCTGCCTGAACTTCATGCCCCGATAACGCATTCCCCAAACAGTGTTTGCACTCAAGGGCCCTTACTGGGCCGTGTCTTCGCTCTGGCGGCTCTGTGGCCGCCTTCGCCGCCCCGTCGCCGCCTCATCGCCGCTTTTCGTCTTCCGGATCTTCGGTGCGGCTGCTGCGTGGCCGCCGTCGCCGCCCCGTCGCCGCCTCGTCTCCGCCCCGTCGCCGCCCCGTCGCCGCCCCGTCGCCGCCATTGGATTCACCAAACAGGTTGCACGACAAGAAAACCGCGCCTGCGGGGCGATTTTGGTCGCTCACAACGTCTGTTGCGCAACAGAGAGTACACAACATTGATTGCAGCACACAGACTGATTGCACCACGTCGATTGCACCATATACATTGCGCACCACATAGATTGCACCATATACATTGCGCACCACATAGATTGCACCACATAGATTGCAACACCTAGATTACACAGGGCTTCAAGACGCCGCGGCTGAAACCACGGCGCGTGGCATGGAATTCCACCAGGCAGAACAGGAACACTGCACAGACCAGCCAAGGATGGGCCAACTCGAGATTCGGTGATCTGTTGACCCGGCTCAATCCATACCCGGGTCAGTCAGGCTTTGCAGGATCCTGCAAGATCCTGCAAAATCCTGCAATCAAACCCGGGTCAGTGCAACCCTTGCTCTGCAGGCTCCTGTGAGATCCGGCGCTCTGACTGACCCCCGTTTGCATTGACCCCCGTCTCTTGAGCCCCGAGAGATCGCGCCCTGGACCAGGAACGCTGCACAGACCAGCCAGGCAGGCCGGGAACGCTGCACAGACCGGCCAGGGAGGGGCCAACTCCTCGAGACCGCGCCCCAGACCCCTCCAGGATACTCAAGATTTCGTAATAAAAGGGAGGGGGTCTGGACCCTCCAAGACAAGCCATTTCAGACCTCCCCCGTGGGAGAACCCTCCAAAACATCGTCCCCAGACCCCCCAGGCCCTCCAAGATAGCCTGGAAGAGACCCCCCCCCGAAATGAGACCCCCCTCCCTTTTATTACGAAATCTGGAGTAACGTCCTGGCTCAGGTCCCAAGCATGCAGCAGCTACCAGGGGTGGATCTGGTTCGGGCCCCCGGGCGTCTGGGCCCCTCCCGCCCGGATCCTCCGAGGCGGCAGAGGGGGCGGGACGGAAGCTCCTCGGTGAGGAGGCTACCGGGGGGGGGGGGAAGCAAGTCCAAAAAAGGGCGGCGAAGAAGAGCTGTTTCAGCTGCACCACAAAGCATGGAAGATAGGAGGGACAAGGACAAAGAGGAGAAGGAGGAGGAGGAGGGAAAGCGTAAGAAAGAGAGAGAGAGAGAGAAAACAAAAAAAAAGAAAGAGTGAGAGACCAAGAAAGAGAGACAGAGAGAGAGAGTGTGTGAGAGAGAGAGAAAGATGGAGGGGGGGAGGAGGGAGGAGGAAAAAGAAGGAGAGAGAGAGAGAGAGAAAGAGGAGGAGGAGGATGAGGAGGAGGAGGAGGAGGAGCCTGGCCCAGCATCATCATCATCATCATCATCATCATCATCATCATCATCATCATCATCATCATCATCATCATCATGATCATCATCAGCATCATCATCAGCATCATCATCATCAGCAGCATCATCATCATCAGCAGCAGCATCATCATCATCAGCAGCATCATCATCAATATCATCAGCATCATCGTCATCAACATCATCAGCAGCAGCAGCATCAGCATCATCATCAGCATCATCATCGTCACAATCAACATTATCACCATCATCAGCATCATCATCAGCATCAGCATTATTCTCAGCGTCAAAATCATCAGCAGCATCATAATTTTCGTCATCAGCATCAGCATCATCACCAGCATCATCAACATCATCAGCAGCAGCATCATCAGCAGCGTCATCAGCATCAGCATTAACATTAGCATCAGCATCAATCATCAGCATCATCAGCATCATCTGCAGCATTAGCATCATCATAATCTACATCATCAGCATCATCCGCATCATCATCAGCAGCAGTAGCAGCACCAGCATCAGCCCCATCATCATC